GAGCGTGGCCGTGCCAAGTCATTCCCGCCGGGCTCCTTCTCGCGAGTATCTGAGAGCTGCTGCCGGGCTTCCTTTGCGAGGCGTTGTGTTTGTGCATCCTGCAGGGTTTTTGCACATCAGTGAGCCGAGCAGCATCTGTTGATTTAATGCCACGTATGGATCTAGTTATTGCACAGGATCGGTACTGTGCAGTTGGGTGTTAATTGGCTTTTAAGGGCAAACTGATTTACCTGCGGAGCTGTCACACTGCTGACAGCTGTCTGGATGGCGCTTTTGAAATCGTGTGTGTGCTTTGATAGAGCCACATTTAACCGTGTCAGGTTTCCTGACGTGTTATGGTAGTGGTGACTCTTCTTGATCACAGTTGAGCATGTGATCGCTTCTTTAGCTTGAGACTGCTTTTCAAGGTTTAATACAACTTTCTGTCAGTGTTGGATGTTTTCGATGTAAAATCAGCCCTGGCAGGAGCGCTGCTCGGCGTTCCCGTGCCGAGGAGCCGGTGCAGTAACTGCTGCCGTCCCTGCAGGCACCATGGTGCGGATGAACGTGCTGGCCGATGCTCTCAAAAGCATCAACAACGCAGAGAAGCGCGGCAAGCGCCAGGTGCTCATCCGGCCGTGCTCCAAGGTGATCGTCCGCTTCCTCACCGTCATGATGAAGCACGGTGAGTGCCTGCCCTGCTCCCCCGGCTCCCCGAGGGTGCTGCTGGGGTAAAAGATGGAAATCGAGGTGCTTAAAGTAGCTTCGTGTAACACAGTTAAATAGATGTGTTATTGTAGCTAAGTGTTGTGTGTGTCTCTGTCTGCTGGTCTCCTGCAGGTTACATTGGTGAATTCGAGATAATTGATGATCACAGAGCTGGGAAGATTGTTGTCAACCTCACAGGCAGACTCAACAAGGTAGGATTTGTCTTCCTGAACTCAGTTCTCTAAAGAAGTGTTTAAATAAAACTTTTTTTTAAAAATTTATGTTTGTCTGCTCCATTTTAAAAAGAACTTGCTGTAAAGGAGGTGGTGTTTGTTGAATCCATGTAAATAAGAGCAGCATGGATGTTATCAGTTAAAAGGGTGGTTAACTTGTCTGGATTCAAAGTGGTATGGGTCACTAATCACATTTCTTTTAAACTCTGACTGTTTAAGATATGCTCTCAGGGAAGTCTGCTTGCAAGTGCTGTGTACTTCTCTCTGTTCAAAGGCTTTCTGGCCATGTGGTGCTTTCTCACTTTATTTGGTATTTAAGCTGTCTGGAAGACTTGTCTTAGAGATAGGGGCTGAGTTGGTTTCCAGTTGATGTTTGATAGCTGCAGATGTGGGGAAGACAAATCTTTCTCCTGCTGCCAGGTGGGCTTTGCTTGCAGTGAGGAGAAGTTGAATGTTACAGTAATTGGTGCCTGTGAGGTTCCTGGGGCGTGTGAGGCATTTGTGTGTGTTTTGGAAATTCTTAAATGCTTATGTCTCAAACTACTGAGCTGTGTGGTTCTGTGTGACTTGCTGTGCATCATTGTTTACAGCTGTGCTCTTCCAGTGAGAGTTGGCTCTTCAGTAAAGAAATAAAAAATATTTCTTGGTCAGAATATGTTGGGGGCTGCTGTCCTCATGATGCCATGTGAAAATTGCAGAGTGTATAAGGCAGATAATGCTGACACCCCCAAATTACTGCAGTAGTTACAGTAATTACAGTAGACACAGTGTTATGTGTCTGTAATAAAAGTGATGTGGGTCAGGTTTGAGGGTAGTGTTCCTTGAACTCTTCCAGGATGATATGGATCTTCCAGGCTCATGGATATAATGTTTCTCCCAATCACTGCACTAAGGGAACAATTGTTTAGTTCAGAAATGTGCATAGTGCAGGAAGGTGTGCTTCTGGTTTAGGGTTGGATTGTTGTTAAGATGATTTGAGCCAGTGAGGTAACTGGGGGTGGTGCTGGTGGTCTTGGTCAGTGATACAATTACCTTGAAAATTCCAGTTACATGTTAATTTCTTCCTGGTTAAAATCTATGTGATTTTTTTTTTTTTTTTTTTTTTGCTAACTGTGTATGATGGTTAGAGGTGGAATATCCCTGAGCAATCCCAGGAATGCTGCTGATGTTACAGCATGCTTTAGTGCTCCCCCCAGGTGTGGGCATCATGTGGGTTGTGTGGCTTCAGCAGCAGTTTAGGCTGTGCAGGTGAGGAGGAGGAGTGAGGCTGAGGCAGGAATGGGAGTGGAATTGCTGGGTGTGAGGTCTTGGTGTCACAGAGTGTGTGTGACAGCACTTGGTGAGGTCCTGCAGGCAGGGAGCTGGGATCACACAGTGGCAAATCCATAAAGTTCTTCAGTTTGTAATGGAATCCTCTCTTTCTTACAGTGTGGTGTAATCAGTCCCAGATTTGATGTGCAGCTGAAGGATTTGGAAAAGTGGCAGAACAACCTGCTGCCTTCCCGTCAGTTTGGGTGAGTACGAGGAAGGGTCAAATGTGTGTTGTGTGTAAAAATGTTACACTCACAAACTGCCTGGGTTACACTCACCTGGCAGCTTTTCCTCTGACAGCCTGGAGTTAAATTCCAGTGTCAAAATCCATCCTCCATATAAATGCCCTTTTAAACAGTTTTACAGGGGCACTGCTAAGCAAGGATCTGTTTATTTGGCTTTGGTAAAATCCTTGTTTGACCATTTCACAGTTTAATGGAAAGTAGGACTTTTCTCATATTTGTTTTGGTTTTGTGAATGGCTGTTACTAAATGGAGGAGTTATGTAAGTTACCAGGTCAGTGAAAGTAAATTGTACTACTTGAATTCACATGTCCTGTGTGCGAGTTAGTCAGATACGAAGTGATGAGGAACTTGGAGTCTCTGTTAAACAAACCTGCAGAACACAGGAAATCTTACTATTATGCAATGTACCTTTCCTTCACAAAGTGTGTGGAATTTAGAGCTGTAATTCCCAGTGCACCAGGATGGCAGAGCTGGAGGAGTCTCCAGGGCCTCAGCCAATCTGTCCCATCAAAGGAAGGATTGATTAAAACAGTTCTGTGCTGTTTCTGTTCTTAAAGCTCCAGCAGTAACTCATGCTTCAGCTGGCCCTGTGTAGCTACTCTGTGTTGTCATTGGGAGCTTTAAGAGTGTTTTCAGTGGTGGGACAGGAGGTTCTCAGACCTGGGGTTGTGGGTGAGGTGTGTTGGTACTGCAGATGTTTGCTTTAGCAGTGGCAGCTGCTGCAGGTGCAGATCCTGCCCTGCACCAGGCAGAGATCCCAGGTGAGGAGCTCTGGCACTGTGGCACCTGTGCCTGCAGCAGCATCTGTGGAGGATAGAAGTGGAGTTGGGCTAGAAATCTGTCCAGCAGCTGGACAGGGAGTGCCCAGTGGGAATGTGCAGGGGAAGAGGCAAATAGTTGGGGACCGCAGTCTGTCAGTGTCCTGTGTGTGCTGCAGGGCTGTGCTCATGAGGGGAGCTGCTGTGCACTGTTGGTAATCAGGCTCACTGTGCTGGGCCTGTTACAGGAACAGGCCCTGCTGTTTGTGACACAGATGGAGGTGGTGCTCTCAGCTCTGCAGCAGCCTGGAGCAAGGAGATAACCTGAACATTTGCTCTCTCTTGGCAGGTATATTGTCCTGACAACCTCAGCTGGCATCATGGACCATGAGGAGGCGAGACGAAAACACACAGGAGGCAAAATCCTGGGATTCTTTTTCTAAAACTTGTAAAAAAAGAGGATACTAATAAATTGTTCAAATGGACTCTGGTGTTTCCAGTGGGTATTTCAATGACTTCAAACACTGCCTGTGACAGTGCTTGTAACAGCTCTTCAGTAGTGCTGGAGGTCCAGCTTCACTTCAGATGATGTTTGGGTACCACACCATCCCTGGTCACAATTCTGTTTCTGTTAATGATATAATGTACTTGTGAAAGTTACCACTGGAGTGGCATTTTGGGGTCACTGTACAGGGGAGCTCTCATGCTAAACTAATGCTCATCCCAGCTGTCCTGCCTGGGCTCACCTCCCAGGTGTTCAGTACATGTGTCTGCAGTTACCTGTGTGTGATTCTAGAGTTTCACCTTTTGCCTCAGTAATAGAAATAGCCTTGCCAGAAGGTATTTCCTGTTTATGGTTAAAAAAGTTGTGGGATGTGGTATTCTGGAATAATTAAAATGGTTGGAGTTTTGATTTCAGATCACAAACTTGTTCCACATCATATGGTGAAAGGAGTAACTGAGGTTGGGAGGTGAATTATTCTTTTCCTTCAAATTTCTTCTTTGAAAGTGTTTTGAAATCCCAAAATTTTGGGTAGAGTAGTTGCAGTGCAGCTGCTTTGTATGTTGGCACAAAGAAATGACTGAGATTTCTTTACATTTTCAGACCGAGGGAATAAGGTTGTCTGAACCTACAGGTAGGGAATATTTAGTATTGAATGAGTTGGTGTTTTCTTCAGGCACATGACAGCACAGTGTCCTTGATGCAGAGAAATCAGATGTGTTTCAAGGCACTACATGGAGCAGTACAACTTGTTAAGGATGGGCAGCAAGCTGGGGTGATGGCATTGTCCTTCAACAGCAGCTGGAACTGCCCTGCCTTGTTTCACTTGGTTTGGAGTCAGTCCTACCAGGAGGGAGCCTTTGGAGATGTAGCAAGTGTTTCATCACACTCTAAACAAGCTGGTGAAATTTGTGATTCTGATACAAACAGGTGGAACCCAAGTTTTCCTGCTTGGTGATACATCCCCATGCCCTCCATGTACAGTTGCTTGGGCTGGAAGTGTCCTGCCTTGAAGGTGATACTTCATCACAGACCTTGCCATGGAAGGGGCTCTTCAGGCCCTGGGTCTGAGCTCGATAACTCTGTAACCTCTCTTGGTTCAGTCTGTTACTCTTTATGGAGAAAAGGACAAGGTGATACTGTTAAGCAGAAGGTTTTCACTCTGGGCAGATGCTGCAGTGTCACTGATGTGGTTGGTGCTTCCTGAGGAAGGGAAGGGCCAGCAGAGCTCTGAGTGCTCACAGGGGATGTGGTGGCAGCAGCACCCTGACCTGAGCCTGGCTGAGAAGAGCAGGGGCACAGGATGAAGCTGGTCTAGCTGCTGGGTCACAGCTCTGATGGACTGGAGACAAAACATTCAAATGGCTGGTTCTCAGTTTGGCTGGACACAAATCTGCTCAGCTGCAGGTCTGTACACTGAATTAGAGTAGTTACAAAGTCAAGAGTCTGTTTCAGCCCTCATTTTGTTGTCAAATGGAGCTATTTAGTGACAGGTGGGGTTTTTCCAATCCTTACTGGGTTTCATTCTGCAGTACCAGGCACTGACAGCTCAGATTTTGTACTTGCTCAGAGTAACCCTGAAGATTGTATCAAGATTCACTATTCTTTTTATAAAATCTTAATTTTCTCAAGTCTAGAATAGAACACGTTTCTCATACCTAGTAGAAGAAGGCCAATGACAGTTTCAAAGCTTCCTTTGGATGAATTAACTATGGCAAGTTTCCTGCTAGTTTGACATTTGTTTTAAATCAGTTTTACACAGGACATACATGGCAGTTTTCCTGACCTAGCTTAGCTGTGTGTCCTTTGCTCCCACAGAGACTCCTGAGGTAACAATTTCTGATGTTCTCAGTTGACAGATCAATTGGGAATGAACTGTAAATTTATTCCAGCAGCCAGCCCAGTGACTTTTATAGACTTATTAAATGGAAATTAGAGCTGTGATGTAACAGGAATGACTTGGAGGAAAGGAAGCAGCAGCAGAAGCACCTTTTCCACAGCATATCTACAAAAATGACTGCATCCAGGCTTACCACATGTGGAGGCTGATATGGCTGATAGGGGTTCATGAGATGATCTCTGAGCTTGACCCTCACTGCTGAGATCTTTGCTGCTGGCTGAGAGCCATGAACTCTGGAAGGTGGCCTTGGGAGCTGACAGGAGAGATCATGACAACACAACAGCTTTAAATGGGTTGGCAGGAATTCTTACTCCCAGATATGTTTAAAATCTGAAAGTGGGGTAATTTTTTTAACCTCAGTGATGTTTAGTGGGCTGAGGGCATTTATATGCCTTGTAGGTAAAAGCATTTTGGGTAAGAAAAGGATTGCTAGAGATGGGAGGGGAAATGTGCAAAGCTGAAGGTGCAGTGTGGATTGCAACAGGTGATCAGGGGCAGGTGAGAGTTCAGAGAAGGGGTTTGCTACCTGTGGGCAGAGGGAACATCAGGATGGAGGAGCTGAGGGACAGAGCAGCTGACAGGGCAGGGTGGGAATCCCTGAGGAATTCCCTAAGTTACCAGCTTTGCCCTGGGCTGCCCCGGGTCCCCTGTGGTCTAACACCGAAGGTGATGGTGTCACCTCTGTGCCCTGCACACCCATCTGAGCCCTCTGTCCATGCCTGGAGCAGCCCAGAGCTCACCCTGAGCCCGTGCTGGAGCTGCCCTGCCTGCAGCCCCTTCCTGCTGTCCCCTGCTCACAGCCACGTGTCAGCATCACAGCGCAGCCCCAGGGGCACAATGGGTCAGAACTGAATTTGGATGTGAAAATGAGTAAATTGGATGCAGCTGGGGGAGCGTTGGTGATGCCTCTGTGAGGTACAGCCCATTCTCACCTTGCAGTCAGATCAGTATTTTGGGGTGCCCCCGCTTCTCATGCCCTGGCTAAAGAAGAGGATGAAGGATGCTCAAACAGGCTGCCTGCTGCGGATCCCAACACTGATTTACTGGTGCCTGAGGAGGTGTCAGCAGAGGGCAGCAGCCGACCTCAGTCCCTGGAGATGGAGAGGAGGATCCTGCATGCTGTGCCCTGGTCCACAGTTGAGAGTTTACTCTGTCCTTGATGCTTTGAGCCTACTTTAAGGTAATATTGGAGGTGAAAATAAGTGTGGATCTGCAAAATACTGCAGCAGGCTCAGGAGCCTGGTGTGTGACTGGATATGCACCTTTTCCTCATCCTTTTGTCTAATGTTATTTAGCTAATTTAGATTTAAGGCAAAGCTATGTCTTACTGCCTATTAATGTAAGTATCCATCTCTCAGTAAATATCTTGGTGGATTTAACCACAGTTTGGTCTGGGGAACTGTTCTAGTGAAGTCGGAGGGTGCAGAGGCTGGTGGCCTCCATTCTTGTTCATGCCTCTGATGTTTTCTCTGCTCAGGTGCTGCTCTTGTGTCATTAATGCAGTAATGGGTTGGGATTATCCTTATCCTCAGGACAGCCCATCTGATCAGGCATGTGATGGAGTTGGGACACTGATGCTGTTGGTGCATTTGTGCTGGGGCAGGATTCAAGTTCCTAGTCTGGTTTTATTTACATTTTATTGAGGCTTTTATCTGCTGGTGCTGAATTAATCATTGTGTGTACATTGCTGTGGCATTGTCTGCATTTGGACAAGGTGCTCTAGCAGGGTATGGGACCCCCTCCCTCCCCTTTCAGACTGCTTTTTTAACAGACTGGGGATAATTCAGTGTGAGGGCCATGGAAATAGAGAGCATTCCTGCCACTCTGTAATCCATTGCTATTTCCTCTTGGACTTTTATAATTTATGACTAGGTGTTGATTTTTTTCATATTTAATTCACTTGATTTATTGTTCTCACTCTGTGAATAAACCATGCTACACATTCTCCAGAAAACTCTTTCTCCAGGAGCTTGCAATCCCCTGCCTGCCATCTCTAGATGTCTCTCTTGCCTTAATGTAAGAAAATATGAAAAAGACAAAAGTACTGAAATACTTGGTATGTGATCCTGGATAGAAATGTGTATGTGCAGCACTCCTCCATCTTCAGCTCCCCATTAGATTAGAGTGGGATTGGCCCCTTCATTTGTGGGGAAGAAATGTGGCACAGCCATTCTTGTCTTCCACTGATGCAACTTAACTCTGCTTTCAGCTGGACCAGGCTGTAGGCAGGAAGGGGCAAGGATTATATCTGGGAGTAGGGGAAGAGTAGGTGATGGATGAGGTTAGAGAAAAGATGCAGCTGCAGCCACCTCTGGGCACTGTCTGAGACTCATTAGCTCCATGGATGGAGCTCAGTTTGTGTATGGTCCACTGCTGTTTGTGCCAGTTTAAAAAGCAAAGTCCAGGAGCATCAATGACAACTTTAGGTTTTTGGTATCTTTACAAATCAGGCCTTTAACCATAAGAATAAAAAAAAGGGGGAGAAATTAAAGGTTATTTTTTTCCTTTTCTCCCTACTCCTCTGCAATGCACATGAGTGCTTGTCTCCTCACTTGCAGTAACATGCCCAGGTGTATTCTTGCACAACAGGATCCTCAGCACGTGATCCCCATGTCTGTGTGGGCAGGAAATCAGCTCTGGCCCTCCTTCAGTCCCTGGGGTTCCTTCCTTAGGGCAGCAGCATTAGCCCCTCAGTTATCACCTGCCCTCCTCATGTTTGAAACCATGTTCACCTCACTGGGGAGGCTGTGGGTGTCAGAGCTGACTGCACACCTGTGGTGTTCCTGCTGGGACCTGTGCTCTGTCCAGGATGGGCTCATGGGTCTGTCCCTCTTGGGCAGAAGCCAAAGCCTTGCTTGATTTCCATGACTGGTGGTGATTTCTGGTTCTATTTCCAGTTTATAGTCCAGCTCAGGCAGCAGGAGTTGGGGTTTTATGTGAAGCCTTGAGCAGTGTGTGTTACATCAGGGGAAAGAGGAGAGGTGTGCATAGGACCACTGAATTCATCTGCAGGCAGGTGTTTGCTCTGGGAAGGAAGCAAAAATCAGGAGACTATTTTTAGCTCTGAAATACTTTTATTGAAT